CATGTCCTTAGTGTGGAGGCTATGAAAGTTGCATTCATGGATATGCATGCTTTTTATCAAGCCAAAAAAAGCTCTTTTTGTTCATAACATATAATAATATACTTTCCTGCTACACAACCCAGATCATGCACAATCTCTTGCATGAAAATACATTAAACATTAAGGCCATATTTGGGATTGCTTTCATTTTTGGTGTTTTTGGTTTTGGTGAAAATAGAAATAATGAAAAACATTGAAAGCACCTATGATTTTTATATGGTTTTCATTTTTGTCTGAATTTGTTTTCAAAGATTTACAAAGCAATGTAAAAGTAATTCCTAAAAATGGGGTGTGTGCAGAATTTTTTTCAAAAATAGTCTGCAAACAAGTTTTTTTTGTGTCAATTTCCGTTTTTTCTATTTTCTAGAATATAAAATGAAAACAATACCAAATGTGCCCTACTTGTTTATTTGGAACCGTTCTTTTCTAGCTTGCAAGTGTTGATTTATTTATTTGTAATTTATATTTTATCACAAATCATGCAGATCACCATCTGGGTCAGCAGCATATCTTTTCATGCATATGCTGAGATTACATTTCAGAGCACATCTGATGTAAGTATTTACACTTATCTTTAGCCCGATTCTAGCTTTGTCTTCTGATGGTTTGCTAATGATTTCTATACCTTAACTGTTATAAGGGAGGCAAGGGGGATTACAGATCTGAAATCTGCTCTCCAGGTAATCATGGACCACCCATCTTAACCTATTCCCTTGACATCCAATATCCATTTACTCATTGAATTCTGATCTTTAAGTCATTCCTTACAGAATATTTTTGCTGAGAATATTGTTGAGAAAAAGGAGGGTTTCCTTCAAACATTTTCAACCGAGTGTGATTATGTTAAGTATGTTTCGTCAATGACTTACCTTTACATCTGATGCTTTCTCATTTTGTCTTCTGAAATTGTGTTATCTTGGTTGCTAGATTATTGTTGAATTTGATATTGTGATTTTTGTTCTTTGTCACAGATCTATTGTCTCGAAAGGGGAGATATTGCAGCAAAACACCACCAATGCGCACAACAGTGATTCTAACAGTTATTTGAAGACAGATTGTTCTGATTTGGAGGTGCTCTTTAACGCCTTTGCTGTATTATTGTTAGTGAATAGAGTGCTTTCTTTGTTTTGCATTTCTTGGATTTGCTATAAAGACTTGCTATGATTAATGATACTGAATGTTGGGTAGTTAATAAAAGAAATGTTTGTAAAACGACTAACTGAAATGAGAATATTGAGATAGATGGTCTTTCATACAATGGTTAAGCTTTCTTGGCATGCTATCTACTAAAGATAGGATCAAGGATTGGGGTGTGGTAGATGATATATCTTGTGTGCTTTGTAATGTGGAGATGGAATCACATAATCATTTGTTTTTTCAATGCTGCTTTTCCCACTATGTTTGGAAAGAGATTTTGTTGAGTAAGCATGTGAGTAGAAAGAAACCCTATGTCCTTTGTAGCTGAGATTGATTGGGTAGTTCACAATATAGGTGGAAAGTCTTTTGGCCATTCAGTACACAAATTGGCAATGGCTGCTACTATCTATCTTGTGTAGACGGAGAGGAATTACAGAACTTTTTCTCACAGAAGGATAGATGCAAATTCAGTTCTAAATAAAGTGATCAATGACATAAGAGCAAGATTATATTCATGGGAGAATATAAAATAGTCGTACAAATAACAAGTTATGTTCTTCTTAGGGATTTCCCCAACAGGGGTCAGTATTGGATGAGATGAAGGAATAGCTAAATACTCGATAGCTAGTTGATAGTTCTTTTATGTGTGTAGTTTGTGAAAATATTTGTTCTGTTGAAAGCTACTAGGCTGCTGATCTTTGTTATAACTGGTTTGACTGGAGGATGCCCCTGTAAGGGTTGTATCTATTTGTTTTATGAAATGAAATTTAACTTACGAAAAAGAAAATTGATAATAATAAATGAATTCAATATAAAGAAGTTAAAAGCGGCACTAATTGAAGATAAAATGAGGTAAATCATTGGAGATTTTATGATCTTATGCATCATAGACCAATTAATGCTCATGTAAGGAGTATTGATTTGATGCACATAGAGGGTGACAAAAGAAATGTAGGAAGACGTAGGAGAACTTGGGTTGAAGTGATAAGAAATGACTTGACTATCGTGAACTTGACTAAGAATGTGATTGTGAATGGAGCCAATGGCAGGAAATTGATCCATGTAGCTGGCCCCAAGTAAGCAGGACCAAGGCTTGTCGAGTTGTAGACTTTCGAAAATGTCTTGCCTTTCAAAGACTCCTTGCTAGTAGACTTGTTCCCTCATTCGTTCTTGGGAAGATTAAGGATGAGAACATACTCAAAAAATCCATTTGCATCTTCTCACCCCCACCCGCAAAAATAATAAATAAGTAAACAAAAGAAAAACAAATTCCCTCCGTCATCGTTGCATTTTAGAACAGTGTAGCCATTACGCTTGAATTTTTTTTGTTGATAATGACAGTTCTTATTTTCTTTTGATTGTCATAATTATGGTTTCTTTCCAATTGGACCAGGTTATTCGGGTTGTGGTGGGAACCATGCCTGTTGGGCACCTCTACAGTCGATTGGTACCTCTTGTTCTTATCCTTGTAGATGGTAATTTTTCGCCTCTGTGCTTTCTTATCACATTCCTTGTAATAAAATTGAGCTACAATTTTTAACCATTCATATCATTGAATCAGGTAGCAATCCTATTGACATTATTGATCCAAGATGCGAGATTCTTCTCATAGTTCAGAAGAAAATTGATCTGCAGGGCGGCAATCAACTTAGATTGCTTGGTTTTGCAGCGATTTGTCGTTTTTACCATTACCCCGACAGTTTGCGCTTGCGGCTTAGTCAGGTTTACACTTTTTTACATTAATAACTTGTTAGCTTGAATTAAACAGAACCTGGATTTGGTGGTTCTAAAATGCGTGTTTGATATCTTTGATTTTGTATGTCAATGGAGTTTGAGAATTGCTTTTTTAGAAACTTTTTTGTTGGCTTTTTTTCGTCTTTAGTGAATTTTTTAGTAAAACGTTTCAAGAAGCCTTACACTTCAGGTTCTACTGAATTAGACAGACTTGAAAAGTAAAAAATAAAAATAAAAATTTATTTGAAAGAAGTTGACTTTTTTTTTACTTTAGTTAACCTTTTTTTTTTTGTTGTTATTTTGACCTTTTAAATCATTCTAGACTAGACAGATTTGAAAAGTAAAAAAAATTGAGAAATTTTTTTAAAAAGTTTCAAAAAAATTGTAGTTTTTTTTAGCTCATTCCAAAAATAAGATGCGGTTATTTCTAGCATTTGATGAGATTTCTATTTCTATTGTGGGCAGATATTTGTATTGCCTCCTTACCAGCTCAAAGTTTACGGCCGTCATCTTCTAGAGGTGCTTAATAATGTTGCAATTTGTGAAAATGTTTATGACTTGACAATTGAAGAGCCTTTGGATTCCTTACAACACGTGCGAACGTGTATTGATGTGGGACGCCTACTTGTTTTTAACCCAATCCAGAAAGCCCTCAATTCCACAATTTTACATGTGAATCAAGAAAATCTCTCAAAGACAAGCCAAACTTAAGCAAATCGACAATTTCATGACTGTCATTTCAGATTGTGTTAGAGCTGAGGTCATAAGGAAGGACTCGGGGGCTGCAGAGAAGCGGGTGATTGAATTTCCAATAGATTATGTTCAAGAAATGTCGTTTGCACTACTAGAAAAATAACTTTTTGCGTCTAATTATTTGACCATTGCAAAAAAATTTATTTGCAACGGCAGATTAGCCGAAGCTAAAACTTATGAACCCCAGCCTAAGTAGAAACTTGCGAACCCACTATGCCCAATTTATGTTTTCCTTTTTTTTTTAAAGTCTAATTTCCCCCAAATCTGATTTCTCTCGATTGTGTCTGAGTAAGAGAATCTGATTTCCCTCTCTCGATTTCGCTCTATAGATCACCATGGTCGTCTGAAGAAGAGATCTCCAACGGTATAAACTCTCTCTCTCTCAATGAGTCTCTTCGAATCATTCATTCGTATTTTAACTTTTTCATCTCTCTACTTCGATCACTTGAACTCACTGAACTCACTGTAATTCTTATTCAACTTCTTCATCTAAACTCACTGTAATTCGATCACTTTTTCATCAATCTATTGATTTTTCCACCAGGTAGCCTGATTCTGGAATCAAGCTTTGGTTTGAATCAATCCTTCCTCATCTACTACAAGTACAAGTTGAACTATTCAATTCTTAATTGTTATCGCTTCACCTTCCAATTCTCACCTCTCTCTCTCTCTATATATATATATATATAGCATTGCTCTCACATGCTTGCTTGTTTTCACCTCCTTTGTTGTAACTGATTGTGATCATATGTCATATAAGAATTGAGCTTTTTTTTGTTTGATTTGCTGATGTCTTGCTAGTTGTGTGGTGTTGTTTTATCGAGACAGTAGAACTGTATTTCCGTATGTATGTATTCTATGGAGCTACAACTAAATAGAAATAGACACTTGATTGTTTAATTTATTCGGTATAGTTGAATTGTGCCAATCCAATAAGGTTAGATGTTACTTTAGTCCCGGTCCCAATGTCAGAGAGCTTGCATCCCTGAGGGCTAGCTTGAAAGGGTAAGTCCCCAGGTAAACAATCAGAGCTCTTAAATTTGAAATCCTACCTCTCTATATATAAGGTTAATGGATGGTTATATTTGGAGTTTTATCCTGGGTCTCACCAAATGTGGGATCAAGGGTTCCTCGTTATCTATACTATTATTAATATTATTATTATATACATACAACTCTGTTAGTGTGAACTATTACACTTATTTCCAAATTATCCCAGTATAACTATCTCATATTTTGATTTTGAGTTTCAAATTTTGATAGCCTTTTCAATTTACTTATTTATTTTATTTTACATTCAACTGGTTGATTTCATAACACCTATATCTATGGTAACACATTCACAACTCTGCTTGCATCTGTAATGTCTATTGGTTATGAGCAGAGCACCCTTGCATTTCTTGATTCCTGGTATCTTGATGATAGAAACATGCAATTTTGCTCTATGTTGGGCAGCAACTAAAGAGATTTTAGACAATCCAATTTTTTTTTTTTTTTTTTGGGTGTCCTTTTCTTCCCTTTCTCAATCCTCTTGCTAAAAAAAGAAGATCATTTTGCAGTTTTTATGGATCTTTCACTTTCACCGACAAGGACCAACCAAAAAAGAAAGAAAAAGAAAAAAACTTAATCAAAAAAGGGGCATTCCGAGAATTGAACTTGGGACCTCTTGCACCCTAAGCAAGAATCATCCCACTAGACCAAATGCCCTTCTACATTAAGTACTTTATCTATTTTATATATCATGTAATTAATTAGGTTTGAATAAACAATGTTGTGCATCTATAACAGATTTGCTGGTTCAAATAATGATGACAATTCCAGAATGCAGTAAATAGCATCAAGGAGTGTTTTTAAGCAAACTTCTTCAATCCCAAGAATGACTTCTAAAATCATAAAATATCAACGATGATAAACTATGCATATTTAAATGTATTGTTCATCTGTTAACATTATTGATCCAACAACTATAAGCAGTGATCTCTAATTCTAGAAAAATATTCATGTTAAACATTAGGTTGGGCATTACATTTTATCTCTCTTCTGTTTTTCATTTTGTGAAATCTTTATGTGCAATTAATTGATTGTTAATTTGTTAAATATTGATGTTGGGCACGGCCTTATGTGTCCTTGTTACAATATCTGTAAGGGAACACATTGTTTACATACACCATAACAGATCACCAAAATCTATTTCACTAATGTTTCTAAATACTTTTTAGTGTTCTACAGAAATGTAAACACTGATATTTATGATTTTGTTTTCCTTACAATGTTTCTGAAATATGCACTAATGTAGGGGATCACTACCCAAAACCATTTGTAATATGAAACCGGCTACATGATAACAAATTGAAAGAGTGTTTCTCCTAATTAGTCAGGATTGAACTGCGTTTGAAAGTTTTTGTTTTTGAATTTGAGTTGAAGATGCTTTTATTGGAAGAAGGTGGTTTATTTTAGTTCTGTGCTAGTGTATGGGCAGCATTGGAGTGGTTTTTCTAAGAGATTTACTGGTTTTTCTAAGTGGTTTTTCTAGGTGGTATTTCCAAATTAGAACCCCTCAATGCTCTTGAAAATGATGTACATGTGCCTAAAACCAAGGGTAAGGAGCATCGACGCAAATCAAAAGTTCAAGATGACAAGAATGGAACAATCTCACTTCCAGTGCCTGGTCAAACGAAGAAGGTTGCGTGTAGTTGATAAAAAATGCAGTTGGGAGGTTGTGTGCCCCGGCACAGGCTATGTTTGAAATGCTTGGAGCCAAACAGCACAAAAGAAAATGTCCAATTTGGTTCTCATTGGTTGCCTCAGAATACCAGTAAGAATATCCTGTAGTGGTGAAAATAACGCAATTTTTTTTATTATTTTTTTTATTTTGGGATATTTCAAGTTTTGATCGGTAATCATTTTATCTATGTTAAATGGTTTCAGGGGAGGAGATGTTCGCTTGCCACAGATATCTGCATGTTACTTGTGGATAAAGTAAGTTTTCTGGTCCCATCACTAATCTGTAGCTTTGTCAGTGATATTTTTCCCAATTGGATACTGTCAGGCCATTTACATGTTTGTCGGGTCATTTTTGCATGTTCTTCTATGCATACTTATGCTTGAGTAGTGTTTGAAAAGAGAAGTTTCTTGTGGCAATGAAAAATAAGTTTTTGAAATGTACTTATATTCAATAAGATTTCGTATATCTATTATGTAGATAAATTACAAGTGTGGAACACTTTATGGAGCATCAAGTGGCTTGGGTTTCATACCCAAAGTACTTGCTTTTTCACTTCCAGAACTCCATTAAAAAAATTAGGAGCCACTTGATTTTTTATTTTTGATACCAAAAATAGTAAAGAATTATCTATCATATCAGATACTTTGTAAAATTAATTTATTGACAAATTGTTCCAAAAATATATTCTTGTCACTGACTTAAGTTATCTAATTAAAAGAGGAATATATTGAGGAAGGGCCTAAGGAGGTACACGTGGTGGCTGAGATTAGGTTGAGCCTCTGATTTTGAAACCTAAGTAGGATACAACTCTTGGGGAGAGTAAGAGAGGGGATGATATAAGACCAATGTGGTTAGGCAACGTTGGACTGAGCCAATAATCATCTGGGTAAGATAGTCATAAGGTGTGAGTTGAGGCAGTTCTCTTGGATAGAGAAAGGTAAATGGTCCATGTGTGAAAGTAAGTCACCAAAAATTTAAACCCCTAAATAAATGTTCCATTCCAGATGATATAAAATTTCAGGAGCGAGGTGGGTTTTCAAGGGTGGGCTGTTCCTTAGTGAAAATAAGATTTGAACGTAACACGGTCTTCATAAATTGTGACCTTGGTTTGAAGTTGGCAATGGACATCTATGGGCATATTCCTCTTCTCAACGTCAAATAACTTATTTAACTTCTTGGTTATGAAGTTGGCAATGGACATCTATGGGCCGTTCCTTGAAGATTTATTTGTTGGCTTGGTAGTAATTACAAGAAGTGGCTACTAGCTGTTTATTGGTGCATCCATCTACACTGACAAGGAAATTGTCAACTTTACATGATCTAACATGATACATGTTAGGTTATACATATGCATTTGGCTTCATAAATTCAGTTGATTCTACACAAAAGAGCACATTAATACATGTTTGTGTTTCATGATTCACATTATTGCTAATAATATCTGGGACAACTCAATATATACAAGAACTAAAATGAATTAAGGAAAAGAAAAGACAAAAGGATGAAGAAAAGAAAAATACACCAATAGTGCCAAAGCCTGCCCCAACTGTTCAATAATTGCCCATTGTACACTAAAGATGGTCTTGGTTTGATAGAAGGTTTCCAAAATTCTTCATTGCTAATTCTTGAATTACATAGTGAAGTCAGTAACTTGATGTAAACTTCTAAATAACCAAACCAAACCAAACGAAGCCTTAAGTCCCATCAAATGGGGTCGGCTACATGAATCCTTCTTCTCCACGCGGCCCTATCAAAGGCCATTTGATTGGTCAAATTAAGTAGATTCATATCTCTATTTATAACGCTAGTCAACGTTAATCTAGGCCTACCTCGTCCCCTAACACTTCCATCTACCGTTACAGCATCGCATCTCTTCACTACTGCCTCTGTTGGTCTCCGTTGAATATGACCAAACCATCTCAAACGATTCTCTCTCAACTTATCTTCTATCGGTGCTACTCCTACCCATTCCCGAATACACTCATTCCTAATACTGTCTTGTCTAGTCTTACCACACATCCACCTTAGCATCCTCATCTCATAGGCCGATCTCTTATCTACATGTTGTTTCTTAGTTGCCCAACACTCCGTCCCATACAACATAGCTGGTCTAATAGCCGTTCTATAAAACTTACCTTTTAGTCTAGTGGGTATTCGTTTATCGCACAATACCCCAGACGCACTTCTCCACTTACACCATCCCGCCTTAATCCTATGGGCCACATCTGCATCAATCTCTCCCGCTGTTGTGATAATCGACCCTAAATAACGAAAATATTCACTCTAAGGCAGTTCTTTTTTGCATATTTGTCCCAGATTTGAAGGACAGATCTCTGAAAAGAACATTGAGATTGGCATAGTTGGCACTGATAAAAAATTCAGGCAAGTTATCCTTTTTCCTGGTGTTTGAGTGTTTGACTGTATTTTTATGATCATTTCGATGTTGATGCTCGGAGAATGATTATTCTGGCATGTTTGTTTCCATTGCAGAGTCCTGACACCATCTGAAATTGCTGATTACCTGGAGGAAGTTGAGTAATTGGAAAACGAGAATATTACAGAATGAGAGGCAAAATCTTTCTCTGAAACTAGGTTGTTCTACCCTTAATGTTGAAACTGGTTTTATTTGTTGAAATTTGTGAATTGAAAACCGTCCATAGACCAGTTACTGTTGTGGAAAACATTCCTTGTTTATGGTTACATTAAGACACAAAAATGGGGAAATTTGAATTATCAATGATCAACAATAAAACATTTTGTGTTCTTCTCCACTGCTATTTGAAATCTTTAGGTTTGCCACTATGTTGTTCTGCATAAGAGAAAGCTATTGCTCAATGAGTGTTAATTCAATCTGTTTGCTAAAGCTGTTGTAACTATACTTTGGTATTCTTATTTTGATTATTGTCCGGAGTAATGCACGTTTTGGCAGCCCGTACCTTATTAATTTGTCAGGACCGCCAAGGCTGGTTGGCATTCTAAACAGTGAAATTTCACAGTTTGTGTTTGCTGTATCTTTGCTAGATGTCTATGGAATTATTATAGCAGGTTGGTCTAAAAATTAGGGAGTGAACATAGGGAGCGACTGTTTGCTCATCCATTTCACCCACCCGTTTATCTCCATCTCCAGGAGGAGTAGATGTCTATGGATGAACAAAAATCATCTCTATTCTATTTTGTTTCTTCCAGTTTTGTTCATCTTAGGTATCTCATTCACAAAGATGATTTTTCTGGCATATAATAGTTACAGATGGGTTATATATATAAGATACATTTTGTATCTTTTTTTTTTTTTTTTGCGACGGCAAAAAAGCCGTCGCAAAAAATAGTTTAGGCAGTCGCAAATAGTTTGCGACTGTTATTTTGCGGTCACAAAAAGTATTTGCTACCCCACATTAGCGTCCCCAATTTGTGGTCGCATGGACCGTCACAAAAGGTCTTTTGCGACTGTATTTTCATTATTTGCGACGGCTTGTGACGATTGCAAAAAAACACTTTTTTTAGTAGTGTTGTCATGTTCAGGTGCACGAATGGTGAAGCTAGTAGGATTGAGATGGATGAAAATCAAACCAATCAAGAGCAGCAGCTGAAGGGACTAGTCGATGAAAGGATGAAAGAGATCAAGTTGATTGCGTAGAAGGTATGCCCTCGAAGTTCATGAAGACTTGCAAGGCCATTCCATTGTTGTTTGGTTTGTTTGGTGTCCATGAATCTACCAAGAAAGTGAAAGCTTTGGAAGAGGTTGGAATGCATTGAGGGCTTGCCTGTAAATGAATGAGCTGTTTTCCTTAGTTCTAGGATGAACTTTAATTTGCAATCATGTTATTTGGATTATTAGCTAGAACTCCTTCATGATTTATGAAGTGAAACTCGAAATCATGCTATTATTCTATATTGTGAGCAGTCTGTAGGTAGGTGCTATTATTAACACACATGGAAAACAACCAACTTTTATGTTCAATTTGTTTTGGCATATTTTATTATACTCAATTTGTTTTGGCATATTTTATGGCGTTTAGTACGATGACATAAGACAAATGTTGACAGAAAATGTGTTTTTGTGATCAACGAACAAGTTTATTTGGGTGTGGAAAATATTTTCTACTTTTGAATTGGGAAAAACATTTTCAAATTGAAGTTTGACCAATGTCACCATACTATCACCGCCATCATCTCTCCACCACCACTGTTGACACCGCACTACCACCTCTGCATCCCAATACTACTAATACAATCTCTAGTATATTAGTTTCGAAGTTGAACATAACTTGAAGCTCAAAGCCTTGCTCGGATCAAAGGTACTTGTACTAGTTATATCCCAGGAATCCTAGTAGCACTTGACAATTCTGTGAACTTTCACAGATAACTAGCTCAATAATAAATGCACATAGTAAAACCCCTAGATCTGCTTCCTGGCACAAACAGTAATTTTCTATGGAATCACTTCATTACAATACCATAAATTGTAGCCAAAAAAGTGTTCTTTGAATATCTAAACTCTACAACTCGTTAATTCCAAGCACACATCCTTGCATAACCATCTCAAAATTGCATACATTTTGGACTACTCTTTAGACTTTACTACACCTATCTTTGGTTTGTTCAGGCATACAAAATAAGACATCGGTAAGATTGTAAGATGTTATAACTCATAAGGCAACTGTAATCATTGATGAGAAGGTATGGAATGATCCGGAAAGAAGAAGCATGATGCTGACATTCTCGTGATGTTCACTCAAGTTGCCTTAAATCTTGTGGACGCTATAACCTGCATCCTCTGCCTTCAAGTCCTCCCTCCAATTCTCGAATTCATATCCACCAAACACCACTTGCTTAATTCCAATGTAGCTGTCAAATGAAAAGGCAATTGGGGTGAGTTTCCTTTGGCAACAACCATTTTTTTTTAAAATTATGTCAAAATCTACTCTCTTTTTTTAGTTCATCTAGACTAGATGACTCTGAAAATTAAAAAGAAAAAATAAAAAATTCAAAAAAAAAAGCTGATTAAAAACGGAATAAGTCAAATTTTATCAAAAAAGCCTATAAAAATTGACCCCCTTTTCCCCTTCTAATTCTTTAAATAAATAAAAAATTAAAAAAAAAAAGAACAGAACATAAAACAAAAAATTTAGGATTGTCTAGTCTAGATGAACCTAAAAAGTATCATATTTTGACTCAAAAGTTGAAAAAAGTTCACTAAAGCCAAAATAAGCCTAAAACATTTGTCAACTTATCTGAAACAAGAGGCTTAACCGCAAATTCAATTGGAGATGAGGGTGTGAAAACAACAAAAGTTGAAACAAAACTAGCAAAAGGTGATCGACCAACAAATGAGCAAAGAGCAGCATGACAGAAGGAAGCATAGCCTAGCAATTCATATCACATTCGTATACACAAGTTTACAGGAATCATGTTGTAGGAAAAATTGTGCAATCATGCTCCAGAAAACCATAAAAGTTCATCATGAACTGTTTTCTTCATTTTTAATTTTTTTTTTCTTTTCTTGTCTTTGGTCTCCTCTTTAGGATTATTATTTATTTATATTTAAACAGAATTACAGACTTTTAGTATTCTTTTCTTATATCTAATTATATTATATATATACAAATATATATATATATATATATCATTTATTTATATTATCAATTATATCGGGTAGGGTTTGGATCGAGGAAGGTGATATCTGCCCCCCTCCCACTCTCATTGCAGGTGATCAAAATATAATTCACCCCTGCCCCACATAAGTGTCAAGTTGGGTAAAATTCGTCCCATTCGTGCAGGTATAGATGGATTGTATCCCTACATGCCTCCTTACCTTCGGGAAAAGTCATGCTTATGTATTACTTCTATAGCAACAAATGCTTTACATCTAATAGGCTTGCCCCTCTCTTGCTTCACATGTGTCATTTGGTTTGAATTGATATTCATTAAGGCTACTTTCACATAAAAAAATGTGTATAAGAAATTTAAAATGTGATAAGTAAAGCTTTTAATTTAATGGTTGTATATCATTATTTTTGTAAGTTTACGAGTGACACTTATTGCAGTGTTGAGTTCTCTCCCATCATGGGATTATATCACGTAATTGTTTATTTTTTTTGAAGTTAATGTTATTTCTTGTGATAGTTGTTGGGCTTGGTGACTTTCTAGTTATGTAATGCTTTTTGTATTTATAATTAATCTTTTATAAATTTACAAAAATAATTAATTAATTAAAATGTGATTTCAACTCAATCTATATGTTATGAGGACCACATTAAAATAAATTTAGATAACACATTTTACTATAGAGTCAAATGTGAAAGTTTTTTGGCATTTTAGAATTTAAAATGACGTTGAATTCTAGTTTGATAAATGTACAAAAAAACAATTAATTTATGACTCATTTTTTTATTATTCAATTTATGACTCTTGTTAAGATTGAATATATGACTTTTTATTTATTATACGTTAAGGGTTGTTTTGGCAACAACTTAAAATAGTTAAAAAATCAAATAGTCACTACAGAAAAATCAACTCTCCTCTTCTTTTGTGTAAATCTTTTTGTAAAGTCAAAAAATTAACTAAAATAGTTATTTTCTAAAACAACAATAGTACTAAAGAAATATTGGTTTATATATATATATTAATTTATTACTCATTATTTAATTGAAATATGTATAAGAATTGTTAAAATAAAAATTATTCATGACTCGGCCCCCTAAGATAAAATTTTGGTTCCGTCCCAGATGAAAACAAATGATGTTGGCAGTATAATTTTTTGATTATTTTCTTATAAGCTCAAGGTTAAGTACTCAAATGTTTTAACTAATTTATTGGTAAGTATTTTTTCATCTCTAGCAACAAAATTAAATAATATAAAATATAAATATATGAAATAAGTGGATTGAGTCAGGCTTTAAGTGGTCATTCCAAACCTGCCATCAAATTTAAACGGGTCTAAAAAAGTTCTATAGCTTGAACGTGTGGATAGTTGTAATAAAATTAAAAAATAAATGTAAATATTGGTTATAAAAAAAATATATTTTTCTTGACGAATCTAAAATTCAACATAGCCTACAATTTATTTGTTCAGAATTTTAACATTGCATTCACATAAATTTATCACCTTATTACCTAATTATCAACTAACAATTAATCACTAAATGCACAATTTTAAAATACTAGGCATGCAGGCCGATGGGGCCTGCCTCTCATGGACTAAGAAGAGTCAGATCTGATCAGCAGGCTTATAGTCTAATGAGTTGAGATTAAGTGGTTGCTTGGCATGTGTTAAAATAGCATATATTATTTTAGCACATTATCTTATTTAGGTTATAATTATCTTATTTAAGTCACATCACCTCTCTAGTACATCACTTCAAATCCAACTCATATCTCATGTTTTTTCGTAAAAAATCAAAAAATATAATTTAGCACTTCTCAAACAAAGTCTTATATTTTTTAGTTTTAGTAATTTTATATGTTTTGTTTTATTTTGTTTGTTTTCATATTTTCTACAGGACTAGTCGCCAACCAACAGATGGGTCAAGCTTTAAACTCCAACCTCAACCAAGTCTCATTTGGGTTGTGGTACATTCTTGGGCCAAATAAAAATCCACATATTGACAAGATTTTTAGATTAAGAATTGTTTTGGAAAGATAGTTAAAAGTTGGTTTTTTTATATATTTTTTGACTTTTTTTTTAAAAAAGTGTAAAAAATACGAGAGATAATGTGATCCAAAATGGGTTAAAAATTGGAAGGTGACTTTTAAATATCTTCCCAAAATAGCCCTAAATGATGACTCTTAATCCTAATTAGTCATAGATTATGACTCTCTTATATAAAGTCATGGGTTCAAATTTCAAGTGGTAATCAATTATCTAATATTTCATTTTCCACTCTTCAAGAGACTCTCTACCACATTACTTTCATCTGGTGTGTGGAACGAGGGACTACATATGTCAAGGAGATTAGTCTCAACAAAGGTCTCAACAAATTTATGAGCAAATTAAATATATGTACATATATTTAGTAGATAAAAAACTCTCCTATAAACATAATATGTCTAGATTCAAATTTTACTGCTGTAACAGTATCTTCTATATAGCAATTAAGGAACAATACAACTTTTTTAAGCCACCTGGGTCTCCCACAGAGCCGCCCCTGAATGGTCCTCTTTGTTTCCTAATAGATAAGCATCATGGAATTTAGTTTAGAGAATTACTTTAAAAAAAAAATCAATTAGAGGATCCAAAATCAAATCAATGGACTCGAGTAATAGATTATTAATATTTCATTTGAAATTTTATTGAGGTTAAAAATTTATTTAAACTTGACTTATTTATATTTTTAAATTGGATTTGAATTGTAACCCAAGTGATTTTGAGAGGGCACTTACATGCTAGTGTCATCACCAGATTTGAGTCTATGAAAAAGTATTGAGGTGTGTTGTATTATAACTATTAACTCTTTATTTAAAATATAATTAAAAAATATGTATTAACCAAAAAATCTCATTTGTTTGCTGACAAAATGCAATGCAATCAACCAACAAAATTCAATTAAGTTGGTTGGTGATGTCAAAAGAATCATTAGATTTTCTTATGTATTTGCTTTTTGTTTTGTGTGTGTGATAGTTTTTGGAGGAGAGAGAAAAAGTGAGTGGAGCAATTAGAGGGCATGCATTTGATTTGAATGGAGGAGGATGTGCTTGCAAAACAATAATAAAAGCTAGGCTTTTAGAAAAGTTAACAAGAAAATTATCCAGAATTAATAAGTATGGTTGGGATTCAATGAATGTTTTGTAAGTTCTACATATAAAATAAATTTTAATCACATATTGATGTTTTGAAAAAAAAATTAAGTACAAATTCTAGAAACATAGTAATACTTTTTGCAAAATTATAAGAAGGGATTAAAGTGCATGAATGAAGAGATGGCGGTTTTTTTCAAATTTTTTTTATT